TGAGAATAGGACGGTCAGTGTTGTTGATATTGCTGTTTTTATTTTGTCTCTTTAAGTTTGTTATTTGTGGTACTTTTTAGGGGAAGTGTTTATTTTTTAAAATTTTTTTTGGGGGGAGGGGTTCTAAATATTTCCTACTGAATTCCCAACTGGAGCTGGATGCAGGCTCAGGACATGGGTTACATTTCTTGCTGTCATCAGCAACTGGATTTATCTGAATATATGTGAAACATTTTTGTTTATGCAGAGAGACGAAGTCATGCCACTGCTGTAATAAGTGTTAAATTCTACAAAGTGTATTAAATAAGGAAGACAGTGTTTTGAGAGTGCAAGGGTAAAACATTGAAATGTGTTAGACAAGGTAAAATAAGCAATGGGTTGCCACCACTTGGAGAATGAGCAACGCTTCTGTCGCAAGTTCATGTTCATCATGTCTATTACGCCGTCAGCTGACAAAACGCCTTTTTTTTGTCCAGAGCAGTTTCGAGAAATCAACGATTTTCGGTTTTCTTACAATATCTCAACTACTTTGCACAGTACATCAACGTTTGAACTCACACTCTAATCAGAATGTCATCGCCTATGAAAAACATAAATTTTGTTTATTTTCTTTGAGAAATAAACAAATAATCAGGAAAAAAGGCGTTTTGTCAGCTTTGCCTCACACAAGGCGTTTTAACAAGAACGCCTTTTTATAGATGTTCGCTGACAAAACGCCTTTTTTTATAGTCGGTGGCAGAAAAAAAGGCGTTTTGTCAGCTTTGCACTGAACAAGGCGTTTTAACAAGAGCGCCTTTTTTTTTAGACGTTCGCTGACAGAACGTCTTTTTTTAGTCGCTGGAACAAAAAAAAGGCGTTGTGTAGGCCAACTCTTTAGAAATGTATTTAGCCGTATGCCTTATAAGTCAGAATTGGGAGACAGGAGATGGGGCACAGAATCCCTTTGAAGATTGCTGCCGCTATGTGTGTAGAAATTTAGATTGGTCGCAGGTAAAAACTGATTTTATTTTCGGAATCAGTGTATTTAAGTTTTATATGAAAAGTGGGTCGAATGTAACCTGATTTCATGCCATATATAAAATTAAGCAAACTTTGTTATCGAATTGTCGGGTAGATTCTATGCAGGTCAGCCACTGTGTTATGCATTTGACGTCAAATCTGACAGGCCTAGATCTAATAAACAAA